AATTGATTGATTAATTGATCGATTGATCGATTGATCGATGAATGAATGGATGGATAGATGGATGGATGGATAAACAGCGAGAGAGAGAGAGAGAGAGAGAGAGAGAGAGAGAGAGGAAGATGTGGGGAGTAAAATAGTTAAAAATATAGGAGGAACGAGATCTTTGGGTAGAATACGATCTACAGTCACCTGTTGCATATATAAGAGAATTAAAGTAATTAAGCGACAGAAAGGTACAAAAATGATGACGAACGATATTACGGTGAATGCAGGTGATTGTTTGAGCAGACCAGTACCTTTCACAAACTCGATAAGATCTTCTGCAGACAATGTGTCCGTTTTACGGACGACGAAAGCTCGGATTAATTCGTTCTTAGGGTTAGGGTTAGGGTGTTCTTAGGGTTAGGGTTAGGGTTTAGGGTTAGGGTGATTATATATGAGGTGACAATAAGAGATAAGAGATAATCGAGATAAGAGATAAGAGATAATAGAGCGCGTGAGCCAGGTGAGCCAGGATAATAGATTGATAGAGGTGATGGTACAGCACTTAACAAGTTATAACCAGAAAAGGAAACGCTTGTTTAATTGATCTATGAAAAGAGATTATATAAGTTGTAAAAATTCTGGGGTGGGAATCCTTCGAATCATAGTTTCATTCGATCGCTCTACTCTCATTTTCTGTTGCGCAAGACTGTGGGCCGTATAAGATCGTTTTATACAAAGACAAAATTCCCGTATAATGATAGAATTAAGCTGTTATAAAAATCGTGTTTTTAGAAAATTGTACATGGTGAAGCCATGTTAAGGGAAACTCAACCTATGTGGATGTAGACGCGCGTACATAATAAAGGTGACAAGTAGAGTTCAGACTTACCAGGGCTATCGCATCCTGTGACTGGCTAAACCAAGAGTGTTGATCGAGAAAATCAGTGACCGACATGTCTGGTACATCAACATGTGGGTACGGACTGTCTAACACACGTCCTTCACGTCCCTCCATCTTTTTGTCTTTCTATAATAATCACAATAATATTAGCCGCATACACGTGTTTTTTGCCATCTTCTGTCTCTTTCTGTTCTCTCTCTCTCTCTCTCTCTCTCTCTCTCTCTTTCACTCTCTCCCCTACCTCTCGCTTTCATCCCTCCATTCTTCCTGTCTGCCTCCCTGTCTTCCCGATTCTCTAGCGCGCACTCTCTCGCCTCATCAACCTTTCATTCCTCGTTTTCTTTTTAGCTTTGTTTCTCTCTCTGTCTTGTGCTCTCTCCCTATTTCAACAAATTTCAACAAATACGTAGTCTAAGAGATCTTGTTTCGCAATCCCTTCAGCGCCATCATAATCATTATTTGATTATTACGTGTATTAAAAAAAAATATATAAAATGAAAGAAGAGAAGGTAACGCCTACCGACTTTTCAATGCGTGAAAATGACACAACGTCAAAATACCCGTATTAAAAGTGAACGTGAGTGGCAAAGGCGGGGAAGGTTGTCACATTACCAGTACCTTTGGCACTTGATCAATATTTCATTAGGGTCATGTAAACACACACACACACACACACACACACACACACACACACACACACACACAC